AAATGATGTCGGCTGTTTCTTCGCTTCGCAATCGCCAGAGTTCTGGGCAAAGGGCATCGAGCAGTTACCCGTGCGTTGGGAACATGTCATAGACAACAATGGTCATTACACAGTAGACTGAAATTGCATTTCAATAAAGTTATAACATTTTGAAAAATTTGTGCAGAGTGCTGCAAGACTTTTTTTCCAACCCAATAGTATTTTAATTTTTAGCCTGGAAGACAGGTGGCATTAGTTATGTTGTATTCTTTTTCAAGCAGAGGGAATGGACAGGCTGCCCCATACTTTGAACCTGTTTCTCTCCTGATCTGATCCCCTTGAATGCCATGTGATGCATGAAAAATGTACTGAGTTTCTTGCATGTATTTCTCAACTTTCATATGAGGTAGAGCACAAAATATCATATCAATATACAATTATCTTTCCTCTTAACATCATAAAAACTATAAAGTTCTAGCAACCAGAATAAACCCACAGCAGCTGTTCAACTTGGACACCTTGAAAATGTTAATTTTATGCAATTTGGAAGGAGAGGCTACTCCACAAGTGTGGTATTTGGCACCAAGTTGATGTCTTTCTTGGCACTAAAAGTCTAGCTGGTGAGCTGAATCCTCCAAGATGGATCACTCCATTGCCAAATGAGAGAGTCAACATTCAACGGACCTGGAATGAGATCACCTTGGAAGAGATCCCCAAGTCCATTACTTAATGGAAAGTGAGATTTTGTGACATATGTCATGCCAAAGGAGGACTCATTGTACATATTTTAGGATAAGATGTGGCATGATATGAAAAATTTCAAATGACCTTGGTCAAACAGCTGCTATGGGTGTTCTCCGGTAGCTAAAAATGCATAGTTTTCATGGGGCCAAAAGGAAAGAGATATATACTTGGTATAATATTTAGGCCTCTGCCTCACCTGAAAGTTGAGAATTAAATGCAAATATCTTGGTGCATTTTCAAGAACCATCCATCACTTGGTTTTGGGGTTTCTAAAAGTCCCCTTTGCACAAAAAGCAACCAATCAACATTTGGGGGATTGAGAGGCATGTCTCCCACATCATTCAGGCAATCAAGAAGTTTGTCTATAGAAAGTGTATTAGGAATGGAAGTGCTGACTGTTCCACTGTATCAAGCAACTTTGTTGTATTTGATACATTGGTGCAGTAGTTTGCTGAAGGTGTTGAAATGCTGCCATAGTGAAAGTGGTTGCTATGTACCTTGAAGGCATGCATCAAAGTTTTATTGCTACTCTGCAAACTAGGTATGGACACTGCACAGCCAAATGTCCAAGTGGGCCTGGTGAGGAGAGTGAGGGTCTCATGGTATGAGTACAGATTGTCCAATGCACTTATTTTCCACTGAAACTAGCTCCACATATGCTTTTTGCTAAGGACATCATTACGTACATGATTACATTGTAAGATATCATGAGTTTTATAGACACAGTGTATATAAGGTGAGTCAAAAAAACACCACCATTTTCTATGGGAGAAAGTAAGATTCATAAATTCAAGCAAAAATGATAAGATTCCTAAACTCTTGATATTGGTCATTTACAAGGTGTTGAGATGATTGTCTGGTTTTTTTTTTTTTTAGAACAATTCTTTGAGCAAATTCTTTGAACAATTCATTGTCCTGTTACGAAGTTTACAGGTGGATCATTACACCTCAAGTGCAGTGATGGTCTATCTATGCTCGATCATCTCAAAATTCAATTCAAGTAGTTTGCCCAGTTTTGGCCTTAAAGCGATTTTGACCAAATTCATATGTTTAAATTTGGCTTCTAGGACAAATATTTGGCAGGGAGGTTCATGGACTTGTAAGGTTTTTTTCTCCTAAAAGTGGCATAGCATGAAGATAGGGAGCCTCTGGTCAACTACAATGCCCTCTATCGGCATACAGCACCATCTTGCAATGTGAAAAAACCTCTTAGACTCATGAACCTCTCTGTAAAGTATCAGCTGTGTCCCTTGAATAGTTATGGCCAATCAAAATAGGGTGGTGACATAATAATTGTGTAATCAGGAATTTAGCATCTGGGGGTTGGGAGCCATTTTGCACCCCTATGACCAAATTAAATTCACTTTTCATGGCCTCTGCTTGAAGTACAGACTTGTACTCTGCTTGAAGTTTTTTTGTCTGCATCTATTCTGTTGCTATTCTCAAAATAATCTGTTTGCCAAGTTTCACTGAATTCTGAGATGGTCAAGCACAGATCATTAGCTCACTTAAGGTGGAATGATCAATGTAAAACAGTGTAAATGGGCATTGCATGATTTAGGCAGGGGTGCTGAAAAAGACTGACATGCATCTCAACACCTTGTAACCATCCAATGTCAATTGCATGACCAATCTATAATTTTTTTTTGTATTTATGAAACTGTGTTTCTCCCATAAAAAATTGGGGAGCTTTTTTCATCACCCTATATTCTCTGCATATAAATACAAGGTATATAAAGCTATCAAAAATATCCAGAATTGTTTATTCCATTCCCTGCAAGGTTGGCAAAGATCATGATTTTCAAAATTTTTTAAAGGAAAATAAATTTAAGTCAGATTATTTTCTTTTGTGAATTTTTTTTAGCACATACCCTTTCTTTTTAGTCCTCCTTCATTATCCACTGTACATGATTCCATCAAAGATAGAGAACATGATAAGTAAGTATTGGCAGCAACCAAAGATGATCCCAAATGAATAAAAATTAAAAATGCTTTTTAGTTTTTCTTCANTTATTCCATTCCCTGCAAGGTTGGCAAAGATCATGATTTTCAAAATTTTTTAAAGGAAAATACATTTAAGTCAGATTATTTTCTTTTGTGAATTTTTTTTAGCACATACCCTTTCTTTTTAGTCCTCCTTCATTATCCACTGTACATGATTCCATCAAAGATAGAGAACATGATAAGTAAGTATTGGCAGCAACCAAAGATGATCCCAAATGAATAAAAATTAAAAATGCTTTTTAGTTTTTCTTCATCATTCAGTTTCCATGCAACTGTTATTCTTTTTTTTTTACCAACCAAGACTTTGTCATTCTGTGCATGTAAAAGGGGCAATTGATACATTACTGGAATAAGCAATACAGAAACTGAAATAATGTATGCATTGACTTGATTTAATTGCTTATTTCTCGACATGCATGCCTTTGGCATGTATAACTTTTGCTCATCACTTAAGTACTTAAGTATTTCAACACCCTTAGCAAACCACTATGTGACAGTATGTTTAATGAGGATAAGTGGAATGTGTATATATTGAATCAGCATTCCTTCAGGCCCTTCCTCCAGTTTTAAGAACATGAAAATTGAGAATTAGGAATACCTGTGCTATAGGAGGTTGCTTTGACTTTTTGGACAAATATATTCAAAGTATCCCCTGGCAGTCCCAAAAAGACTTGGTAAAATTCTTTAACCTCTTGTGGACAGTGCTCTTAAATGCAAATTTTCCCAAACTGAAACACATTAGTATAATTCAAGTTCAGCAAACTATGGGGATTCCCCTAAGGCTTAGTCATCATTATTCATCAAAGATTCAATAATATGCACCTAGTAAGTGAATACAGGGTGTGGCAAAAGTTTGATGACAGTTGAAAAACTTTATTTTTATCCATAATTAACAGGGGAAAAGAAGAAAATGTGGCAGAATAATATAAACATTAACAAAGTGGCCAAGAGGGAGACAAACAAAACTGCATTCACAGAAATGTAAAATTTTAAAAATATATAATTTTAATTCATTGTAACATGTCACCAAACTTTTGCTGCACCCTGTACAATCCACATCTCAAAAATGTGCTTTATTGGTCAAATTAATCCCATCTGAGAGGCTATTTGGCCAAAATTAATCCCATCCCCAAGTGGTTAAAGGCTTTTTCAACCTTCTTTTTAAAAGACAGTGCTTTCTGCTTTAACCATGAGTCTTACCATAGTATGTAATGTACAAATGACCTTTGACTAAAAGTGGCATGCAAGTACCAAGAATGACCTATTCTTTCTAATGCTTGCACAAATTCTTATTGTTGTTGCAATTATCTCAACCATATTTATAATAAAAAAAGTTAAGGAATTTTTCAATGGCCCCTTGGAAATGCTATTTCTAAATGTTTCTCTTTGGTGTGGAGTGATTAAAACACTTTGGGCCTACTGTGTTTAGTTTTCATGTTGTGAATTTTTCTTGATCTTAAAAAATGACATGCTCAAAAAACTCAAAGTGTGAACAGAGCTTTCTCAGCACTCACTGAATCAATAGATTAAGTTCAAAGTGGGCATAAAATGGGAAATCCTGCTCTTTTGAATGAGACCTCAATGAACTGAAACAGTGCAATACAAAAAAGTTATTAAAAAAACTAATTGCATTTTGTACAGAAGCACCCTGTATATCAGCACAGAAGGAACCTAAGTCAGTTGAGAATCATGCAGACCACCTGGAGTTGTGCTAAGGTCTTAAAGGAACACTTCTTCAGTGCATCCTTCTATCACATAGAGATAGTGTCTTATGTTACCTCCCCCTTTTTCTCCTTCCATCCAGGTCCATGAAAATGCCATGCTTTGCCATCTTGCTATCTTTTGTCTACAAGGCTGCTAAATTTGAATTAAAAATTTTTCAGCTTCTCTATTTGGATTGGCCTGCAATCATCTTCATTCTTATTTTGTTTCCCAGGTCTTTAGATCACCTCAGGTCTGAAAAGAAAAACATGACTTCAAATTTTCCTCGAGTGATGAGTGTTAACTGCATACAAGGCAAATATCCAAAGATTCTTCTGGACTTGTGGGACAAATATCATGAAGAAAGAGGTAAGATGATCTAACAATGTAATGTGAGTGTGGCACCCTAACTGCTTCTTGCCTAGTTTGTGAGTTTCATGAATTCAGCTTTTTTTTTTGCATTTAAATTTAGAATGAAAACACACCAATTTTCTTTTGGCATCTAGAAATACAGGGTGCCCCATAAAAATTTGCTTCGCATTAATTAATTATATCTCCTCAACCAATGAGAGACACAGATTTGAGGCAAGAAGCAGCAAGCAGAATTACATTGTATGCTAAATGTGTCAAGTCTGATGCTGAATATGTGTGCAATGGCACTCAACAATGTTTGCTTTGTACTTATGGAATGTGTATACACACACAGTGACTTGTTGTTGAAGCAGCTTTGAATTCATTAATGTGCTGCAGATGACTCTTGAACACAGTTGCCTTATAACCATATAACCACAGTGAGTGGGATGTGGACAATATTTCAAGAGGTGTCCATAGAATATTAGAACATAGCTTATTTTGCTGCTCCACACCACATGCATATTCAACATCAATGATGGATAGATTGTGCTACCATGTGGTTGTGAAAGATGTCCCAAAAGATTGCTGAATGATACTGAGCTGTAAAGTAAAACTATTGTCCTGTCAAAGAATATAGCTATCAAATGAATGCGTAAGAAAAATGTTCCTTTCAATTCCCCAGAATGACAGGCTTGTATACAGTGAAACCTTACTAATCCGGACTCCACCAGTCTGGACTTCTGTTAATCTGGACTAGGATTCGAGAGTGACTCAGGATAAAATGTGTTTTGTGTGAAAAGCAGTGTAGTGACCTTTGTACAATACATAGTCCTCAAAATCTGTTTTAAGTTAAAGTTTAGATTTTATATTTTTTATTGATCATTTACAAAGTTAATATAAAGTACTGTTTTGGATTTTATGGGTTTATTATGCTTCATTTACATGTGTAATACTTTTTTTTCTATATATTTAGGATTGTCTGTACTTTCAGCTAATCCAGACCCCCCTCCCCCCAATTAGTCTGGACTAGTGAGGTTTTACTGTATTCAGATAAATGCATGAGCAAAATGTTCCTTCCTTGTAGTGTCCCAGAATGATAGGCCTGATATATATCCTGGGAAGCAGTTCTACATTGCCATGGAGTTTGAGTATGCAGGAGAAGATTTGGAATCCTTCTTCCTGGAGTCAGCCTGTCAAGGACTTTCTCTTCTGGCACAGGTAGTAATATTGTGCTAATGTGAATCTTTTGGTTTAAGTTAGAAGAAAGCAGCTCAAGGAATTGCATAGCTGCAGCATTTTTTATATATTTCAATATAAAAATACATTCTTTGAACATTCTATGAATTACACACCTTTTAAATTATTTTGATAAATGCCATGTAAATGCTACTTTCCCCTTCATATTTCAAATAAATGTTTTTTAGTTCCATGTTTTCAGAAGAGATAGAAGAGACTTTACATATTTTATGCTTTAAGTTCAATGGAAATTCATTTTAAAATAGGTTTATCCTTTTGCTTCAATGAATGAAAGATTGAGTACCTTACTGAATTTGTCATTGAAGCTCAACTCAAAATTTCTTGGAATAGCTATTCTATTCTTGGTGTAGCAATGAGCCTAATATTTATGTATGAGATAGTATGCTGATGCACTGACATGGCATTCATGGGCATTCCTATTGATACCTATTATTATTTTCTGAAGTAACAGTGAAATCCAATTGACTTTAGGCATTTTTGGGTTCATACTTTCTTGAAACATCTTCATGCTATCCAATGAACTTTTGACTAAAAATTGTCTTAGGGTTTTGTAAAGGAAGTTTGTTGTCTTTTCAATTTAGCATCAAGTTATGGAAATTAAGTTATGTAGATTCTTTAATGTATCCATCAATGAAAAGACAGATACTACTCCATAGTGTTGTCCAAGGCATGACCTGACAGTAGGATCCTTACAACTTGTATCAAGAGGAAAGTGCAGTCAGCTAGGCATAGAAACTTCTGTGAAAGGAAGAGTAAATGGCATACCTGAGCACTTGGCCATTATGATGTTCCTCTATGTGGGAGGGCCTAGGTAACCCTCTTGGTTAGGGATGCCCATGGACACGTACGTCGTGTGTTTCACGGAGCAACTTGTATATGAAACCCGTGTGGACGAGATCCAGTTCTCCTACCCCCGTAGGTAGTGTCTCCTGTCAACTAGCTACGACGGACCACCAGACCCATGTAAGTGTGTATGTAACAGGCCCATTTCAGCTGATCTGCAGTTTGTTTGCTTGTTGGCACTGCACTTAGTCCCCTCATTTCAATGTTTCAGCAGTTTGCTGGCATGCAATCCCAAATATACAGGGTGGCCTGTAAAGACATGTTCCCCACTGTTGATTAAATACCATATGAGATATCAATAGGAAAATTTAATATCTCTCATCCAACATGTGAAAGTAGTTTTTTTTATATTTTATTGATATGTGTCTTTAAGAAACCAATCAAGTATTCAGACTCAGACCACGATCATGGCCACCTTCACCGACATGGCATTTTTTAAATTCCACAGGTAGGCTCCTTCTAAGAAGGGGCTGGGAGGTCATTCAGCATCCCCCATACTCACCTCTAGTCTAAGCCCTTTGACTTTGACCTGATTCTTAGCTGAAAGAAGCTTTTGCCATCAGTTCAGCACAAAAGGCATTGTTATTTGGGTATTCACCAAAATCATGGGTTGTCAGATCTGTGCAGCACCCACCTAATGAGGGGGAAATGGAGTGCATCAATTAACCCCTTTACTGGGTTAGACGTCTTTGGACATCNTATGTGGGAGGGCCTAGGTAACCCTCTTGGTTAGGGATGCCCATGGACTGCATGCAGCACACAAAGTGCCTCGTTGAACATATACTTTGGGCACACCTGCTCTAGGTCAAGAGGATGGGGGCATCCATCACAGAGGACAGTTGATCGATGCTGCCTGGTGGTCTGGGTACATTCACTGTATGTAACAGGCCCATTTCAGCTGATCTGCAGTTTGTTTGCTTGTTGGCACTGCACTTAGTCCCCTCATTTCAATGTTTCAGCAGTTTGCTGGCATGCGATCCCAAATATACAGGGTGGCCTGTAAAGATATGTTCCCCACTGTTGATTAAATACCATATGAGATATCAATAGGAAAATTTAATATCTCTCATCCAACATGTGAAAGTAGTTTTTTTTTAATTTTATTGATATGTGTCTTTAAGAAACCAATCAAGTATTCAGACTCAGACCACAATCATGGCCACCTTCACTGACATGGCATTTTTTAAATTCCACAGGTAGGCTCCTTCTAAGAAGGGGCTGGGAGGTCATTCAGCATCCCCGTATGAGTGGAGATCAGATTCGGGAAACTGAAACTGGACTAAGAATCGACTTTCTTCGAAAACGGTAGTCAAGTCGTGTTTTCCGTAACAATAAACCCATAAGTGGTTTTAGTACCCAACAGTCTAGAGTGCAGCACCCACCTAATGAGGGGGAAATGGAGTGCATCAATTAACCCCTTTACTGGGTTAGACGTCTTTGGACATCTGACCTCCCATAGGTTCAAGTGTATTTTATGAAAACTTCCCAGTTAAGCTGTTAAACGGGCTGCTCCAGAATGCAGGGGAAACTCCATCTGTCACAATTTTGGAGGAGCAGTAGGTGAAAGGTTGGGAGGAAAAGTCGCCCTGACACTGATTTCCTTCCTCTCTTCCTCTCTCCCCTCATTAATCATACAGTGTTCCCTTTTGTCTCAGAGCCTCCTGACACCTTAATTCTTTCCCTGGCAGAGATATTTGAACATTTTGAGAACCTAGACTCACTGATTTCCTTCCTCTCTTCCTCTCTCCCCTCATTAATCATACAGTGTTCCCTTTTGTCTCAGAGCCTCCTGACACCTTAATTCTTTCCCTGGCAGAGATATTTGAACATTTTGAGAACCTAGACTTAATATTATGTCAACACCAGTTAAGGGGTTAATCTCTTCCATTACTTATCTCTCCCAAGCCATGGTTTGAGTGAAAACACTAAATAACAGTGAACAGGGTAGTTGCAGATCATCATCCAATCTGCCTGCAAGTCCTGAAAGTACAGTGTGGCCCAAAAAAGGCACACTTTTCAATGTGCATTTTAGGTGTGATGTTTTCAAGGATTTTTTTTTTACTGGTTACATGCAATGGTCACTGATTTCCTTCCTCTCTTCCTCTCTCCCCTCATTAATCATACAGTGTTCCCTTTTGTCTCAGAGCCTCCTGACACCTTAATTCTTTCCCTGGCAGAGATATTTGAACATTTTGAGAACCTAGACAATATTAATCTAATCAATATTAATCATAATTAACCTAGATAATATTAATTATGTCAACTCCAGTTAAGGGGTTAATCTCTTCCATTACTTATCTCTCCCAAGCCATGGTTTGAGTGAAAACACTAAATAACAGTGAACAGGGTAGTTACAGATCATCATCCAATCTGCCTGCAAGTCCTGAAAGTACAGTGTGGCCCAAAAAAGGCACACTTTTCAATGTGCATTTTAGGTGTGATGTTTTCAAGGATTTTTTTTTTACTGGTTACATGCAATGGGAAGAAGAAAGACTGAGCTACAAAATGCTTTTTTCAGACTTGATATATCTTAAATGGTGACTTAGAAAAAAATTAATGAATTTTGGTTATGAAAAGTCGGTGTTGCACTCACCTATTGCCTACAGCAGCTGGTGTATCAGATATTGCAATGTCTTGCAATGTCTGCTGATGTCAGCATTTCCCTTCCCCTTCTCATGATTGTTGGGCTGTTGAGGGATGTTGGATCAAGCTGGTGAGTGCTATGCCGATTTTTTAAACCCAAAATTCAATTATTTTTTACCCAAGTCGTCATTATAGATATTTCAAGTCTGTAAAAATAATTTTGTAGCTGAGACTTTCTTCTTTCCATTGCTTGTAACTGGAAAGAAATATCCTTGAAAGCATCTAAAGCACCCAACTAAACACCGAAAATGTGCACTGAAAAGTGTGCCCTGTTTTTTGGGGGAACCCTTTATAATGCAGTCACTTTCACATAATTCACTTTTTTCAGCAATAGTTTTCTGTGGTCAGCTCTGCCCACAGGAGTTAGTTTTTTTCTTTTGGTGGGTGTGTTCTCCAAAATGCTGTAACAGAATTAATCCCAGCCCTGACCATAGCCATACATTTACATGGGAACCAAAAATATCCACTTCCTCATCATATATTTTTCCATGGAGAACACCAAGAGAACCATCAACAGATTTTTATTCAAGTAAATCCTGAAAAGTACTTTAAAACTATAACATTATTTCTTTGCTGGTAACTTGAAGTCATGCATTGATTGGATCAAATCTGCAAAACATTTTATTCTGCTAGTCAAAATCTATTGTCACTTGTGACATGAATAGACTCAATTGGACACACTGCCATAGGGTTTTGCCATAGACTCTTCTGTCTTATTTCAGTTCTTATTTGTCTGGGAATGTAATTCTGATGTTTTATTCATACTTGACATCACTATTTTTTCTGTTTTCTCAACAAAATATTTTCTCCTTAGGAATCTACCAACAAATTAGGATTTTCCCTGTAATCAGTGTCCCAGAGACTATAAATGTACTGAATTTCATGTTTCTACATCTGTTTTACTGGAACAAAAGAAAAATTATGGAAAAATGAACTCCCAAGAAAATATGTCTGCAGGGGGTGCACCCCAAAAGTAAGCTTTTTCCTAAAGTCAGCACCCCAACTGCTACTTGTGTTCTAAGCTCAAGTCGTATCTAGAACATGATTAGAATCAGTGTCAGTCACTCATAATTGTCTATTTATATTAGATGGTACTCAATGTGGTCTAGATGAGGGTGAGGGTTATAGTCATGACCAAACTTCACTGTCTATTTCATTTAGGTGTCTGGAACTCTTGCTGTTGCTGAGAGTGTCCTTCAGTATGAACACAGAGACTTGCATTTGGGGAATATTCTGGTTGCCCCCATTGATAATGATTCTGTGGAATTGATCCTTGAAGGGAACTTAATCCCCATCCCCTCACATGGAATCAAGGCTACTGTGATTGACTTTGGATTGGCTAGGATGTCATTGCCTGGTGGAAAAATTCTCTATGTTGACTTCAATTCTGATCCGGCTCTCTTTGAGGGGAAAGGAGATCTGCAGTTTGACATCTATCGCCTTATGAAGGAACAAACAAAGTAAGTCCTTTTTTTTTACATACATGTTCTGTTCACATTACAGAATTCTGGTAACTATTCCTTTGGGTGTGTGATATGAAAGAAACCAGTCTCTACATCCGTGCTCACATATGGAAAATCAATTGCAAGAAATGAAGTTTATTTCCTGCTTTTTTCAGGGGCAAATGGTCATCATTCATCCCATATACAAATGTCCTCTGGATTCATTACCTGTGTTGCAAACTAGTGAAGGGCTGCAAGTACTCATCGAGGACGTCAAAAGAAGCTAGCATAAAGCATCGAGATGCTATGAGAACATTGCATGAACTTTCCCAGCAGCTACAAGCTTGTAACAATTCTGAGAGTTGTTTTTATCTTATCACATCATATCTTTGATTGCTGCTAGGAAGCACTACAGATGGCTTGGTCATGAATTGTTCTGCCTTCCATTAAGATTCTCAGCTTGCAATTGCTGGTGCCATGTTGAAGAGAACTAAAGAAAGATTCTTTTATTTTGGTGTAATTATCTATTTATTTGTGACAAGGTTCTTGATATTTTTTAGAGTTCAAAATCGATGGAAGGTTTTTTTTTACATTTTAGTGAAGATCTTAGAGGGAGCTGAAAAGACCTAACATCTCAGCCAGCACATTTAAGTCAAGCCCTTATTGAATGTGTTCTTTGCTTGTTCCATTTCTGATGAACATTTCTGGATGCAAATAAAACTCCCTGGTAAAGAAATTATTAGTCTGCTTCACACCCTATGATTCCATTCTATATCAGTCAGATGGAATCCTTCAAGCTAAAGATGCTAAGATTTTGCACAGAAAAACTTTGGCCTATAATATAAGGTGTGTTTTTCTGCAGTTTTGAATCTTAAGACTATTTAAAACTGTGTTTGTATGATGTGTATTCCAATGCAATTAGCTGACATCAATCTGTGTGTTTGAAGGCAGTTGTATATGAGGTGCCAGCATCACATATGTCCATTTTGGTATTGAAAGAGTGCACCAAGTGTGAAGTGCAAAAATATGTATTCATGCCCTTGAAGACTGAGAGAAACATGACATATGATCCCCCATGACTTTCTCCTTAGCAGCAATATGTATCCATGTATTTTACTTCTTTTAGTTTGGTCATGGTTGTCAGAGTGCATCTTGTCATGAGCATTACTCTAAGTCAACACCATGGCCAATCTTACTAAAGCTGCTCTCTCTGAAACACTTGCATGCATGCATCTTAAATCAAACCAATTCTATTCTGCATACAAGCCTTACATTTAATCTAAATTTAAAATTAAAATTTATTTGTGACTAGGTTTATTTTATCTAAATTTAAAATATGATGTATTTCAGCATGCATATGCTTGTATGCATGTATATTTACACATATACATGCATTCTCATGCACATCATACAAACCTGCAAAGTATTAAAAAGGCCTTTGCATGGTGGGCCAAAAAAATTCTCTCATCATTTAGTTGTTACATCCATACTAGTTAAGATGCACTCATGTACTTTGGAGGATAAATTATCTACTTACATATGGTTGAATATAGTTTATTTAAAAGATGTGCTGTGAATTGTCCTTTATTTTTTTTGCAAAAAAAAAGGCTTTGCGCATAATACAGGGTGATCAAGAAGTCGTGCAACCTAAAAGAAATGTTGCCATGACCAAAAGCCATCAGCACAGAATCTTTTTATTCCACTGGAACTGATTTCCACTAGTGTAACACCCATAACTTCAGTTTGGAGACTCAGTGGTAAGTGTACACACAGCCCTATATATAAGGTGTACTTATATATTCGTATTTAAACGCAACATGGATATATTTTGCCGCCTGTAGGTGGAGTTCGGCGAACGCTATCAGGCCCACCAGGTTGCATAGATGCAAGGAAACACCAGTGACAAATTTCATCCTTACAAATGCAACCGGTGAGTTATAAGGCACTCGCTGAACTCCACAAACAGGCGGCAAAAATTTCCCTATGTTGCATTTAAATACGAACACCCTGTATTCAAAAGCCTATTGTAGGTACTCACAAGATGTTCACAACCACTGCAAATACTTCTTTTCCGGTTGAGCAACTTTTCGATCACACTGTATTACATTGATTAATCTAGGAAAGGACATCCTCGATTTATATTTCTTAGTGAAGAGTTCCTTAAAAGCGAAGAGAGCAATGACCATAAGAAATAATGTTAGTATTGAAATAACCCATTATTTAACCCATGCGTATACCCAACCGTTTCTGAGACAGCCTCAGTAGAAGTGTCCAGCCCATACCTAACTATATATGCCAGACAGGTTCGGAGCTAGTCAATGGTATGGTCGTTAGATGGCATGGTATGCCTTCTTTTAGGTTCTAGTAGGCTCTTTTGGTTTAGTGCGCAATGAGGAATTTTCCCACAAATTAAATCGTATTTCAAAGCAACTCCTAGTAAGAAAAAAAGGCATGCAAATGGGTTAAAGCTATGTTTTAATGTGCCCTCATCTGCTTCAAACACCTGTCAGTGTAAACCTGATGCTACTCAAAGCATGCATATCATAGTTGGTGAAAGAAAATACTAAGCACACATCTGCAATTCTGTATCTCACACTGCCAAGAAGTATTGTGCATATTGTGTGAGTGTTATCATTCATATTTCTTTGAAATCAATTGCATTTGACCCGGGGGGGGGGGTGTAATATTTTTCTTTTAACTGAATGAGTGTGTCTTAATTAGTTCAGCTGTAGCCATTAAATGAAAAGGGTGAACCCCTTTTGGCCCAACCTGTACTTTTTCATGAATAAAACATTGAATTCGTCTTATTAGAAACTATAGCATTGATTGAATAAGAGTTCCCCCCGTTCTTGTCCTTTTTTTTTCTTATACACTTCCAGCAAAAGAAATAGGAACACCTAGAATGAGCGATGCTACAGTCACCAAACTTTGGCCATTTATTGGAGACATCGAATTATGCAAATGATCAATCACTCTCCGAGATCTGGTGTCCCAGTGGCGTGATACATTTATGTGATGGGCACATGATATGGAAGGTCATAAAACCCCTGGGAGCATTATTTGGCAGCTTGTCCCATAACCAGAAGAAGCCATACAGAGTACTGTCAGTGATGCGGTCACATGTATCATGCCACCAGAAACCCAGATTTTGAAGTGTGATTCATCATTTGCATACCTTGATGTCTCCAATAAATAGCCACGGTTGGTGGCTGTGGCATCCTCGTTGGGGTGCACAATATACGGCCCGCGAGCCGCGAAGCCTTTGCTTGCGGCCCGCCGTGACTGATGGCGTTGTAAGTGCTACTATGGCTCCCGCCCTGTTGGCTACAGCTATGGTCAGCCAGACTGCGGCTCGCCGTAGGTGAGTAAAGATCGCAAAAGGTTCTCAGTATTTTGAGTTGTGCACCCCTGTTCTAGATGTTCCTCTCTTTTTTTTTTGTTGCTGGCAGTGTATTTGACTTCTTTTTTATTGCATTGGTGACATAGGGTAAAATGGATCTCAGAAAGCTACCAAATTCTATCAAGGTTGACGTTGAAGTTGCCAATGCTCGTGAGGATTGCCTTGAATGGGAATTCGTTGATAATAATGCATTATAGACAGAAAACTGGCGTTTATTTTGACATGCACATACCCTTTCTGGCTTCTAGTATTCTCAAATATAAAACTACAGCCCAGATACTATTATGATGGAAGCGATGGTGGGAGACTAGAACATATTGATGATGTAAGGAACCAGAAAAGCATGTTTGTACACAAATTATATCAAAGAGGAAGTCACATTTAAAAAAAGTGTGAAAAAGATAGGAAATGGTAATCCTTTCATTTTCTTCAGAATTCAATCATTGTGCATCCCTCCACTGGGAGGAGTATCTCTTGGTGGTGGTGGCATTGTAGGTGGCTTTAATCAGAGTATTACAGTTGAAGACAAATAGGTCTACTGCAGTTCCTGGTTATGAAGACCATTGATTGACCATTGATAAGTATTTATGGAGTAATATGGGCAATCATGGTTCTTGGCAGGTCTTGGTGATAGTAGTAACGTAGTGGAGCGGACATTTTGTGTCATTCTGTTGCCTCCTGATCACATGGGTTGATTTAGTTTAAGAGATACATTGGGCTCATTTTAAATTCTTGTGAATCTAGGAGGAAGTGTGAAGCATGGGCATCTGGTATGTGGTACTTGGAGAATTTGTCCGTTCGCTACAACGAGCTTTTCTCTCCACAGACACACGGTTGTAGAGGATGGGTGAGGTTTGGGCTTGGAGGGGCTACACTCTGCCCAACAAAGTGGCTTTAGGAATGCATGCTTTTGGTCTTTTCCATCTCATTGATTCCTTTTTCTTCCCATGCTCCTCTAGCTTTTTTCTTATGGACTTACCGACTCTTGTCCTTACCGAGTCTTGTCGCTGCTCAGGATTGAACCCAGAGTGGCCCCTTTAAACTAGATTTATTCATAATTGGTTAGTGAGTCTCTGGTTGAGGTGAATCTAGATTCCTCTAAACATGTGTCGAAATCTGCTGGTAGGGGATTTCAATGTGTCTGCATTGTTGGACGAATTTTTTCATCTGCCTTTATGGTGTGGTGGTCAGGATGCCAGAACGAGGCAGTGGAAGACGGTGTCATGAGCAAGGTAAATACGGTCTCCTGCAAACGACGCTCTATTTTGGTTAATTCGTTTATAATAAGAAAGTATTTGGCGTACAAAGTTCAAAGGTAGTTATTTTCACAAGTTTTGAGATATTTTACATATAAACGCATCCTTAAACAGATACTTCGAGTTTGGATCATTTGGAAACGTTCTTTTAAGTTTTAACCCCGGCAAGTGTCTCTGGGTTTATGCTCACCACGGCTGATGGGACTTCCGCCTTCAATTCTTGAATTGTGCGAGGGTTATTCCTGTTATTCCTTCGTGAATCCTCATCCTTCGTCAATCACATGGGTTGAGGTCAGGATGGTTTGGTGGTCAGGAAATTGTTTTGAAGTGTACGGAAAGGTAATCTAACACTACATTTGCCTTGTG